ACTTAAGAGGCTCAGTGAGGGCTGCTCCCATCAAGCTCTCTGCAGCCATCAGACCCTCTTTACCCGGAGGAAAACGCTCCCAGGCCGCCCAGGCTCAGATTTGCATCTGTATCTGCTAGGCCTTGAATGCATGCTGATGAAGTCTCTCCCCTCTTCTCTCCCTGCCCTGGCTCAGATTTGTATCGGTATCTGCTAGGCCTTGAATGCATGCTGATGAAGTCTCTCCCCTCTTCTCTCCCTGCCCTGTAGCCAGGATCAGCTCAGGACACTCCCTGAGGACACACGCCACGAGGTATTCTGATTCGCCAGCTCCTGAGAACGAAAACTACAGAGCGTCCATTCTGAGTGACCACGGATAACCAGTACTGGCCCACACGTAAGGCCTGACAGCTACCCCAACCACAGTGAGCCGCATGCTTCCCACGAAGGGCTGTGCCCACCAGTTGCCCCAGAAGGGGCTCTTACAAAACTCCCAAGGGAGCTCAAGTCAGGTTCAGAAACTCCATAGCTCATCTTTCCCTAGGAGCCCTCATCTATGTTCCTTCTTAGTGAGATCTGCACTTGTGTCATAAACTAATGTAGATATCACGTATGATACAGGCGGGGGGCTTAATCAGTGATAACTCTTTTTTAAAAAAACCTCAGTTTAGGAAGATGTTTCCTTTGAGGTGTGAGTGCCTACATGAGTGACTATGCTGTGTGTGTTCAAGGCTGTACATAGAAAGCCCAATGAGGGTAAAGCAACGGCAATTTGCATCTGCCCAGGTAACAAGTCTTCCAGAGAGGACAACTTTCAAATTCTTGCAGGAAAAAACTGTGAGAAGTGAGAAGGTCCCAGAAGCTTCTGAGCTATGGCAGAATCAGAGGTTTTATATCTCTTACATCATTTTATATATAATTTATACCTCTTCTATTTTTTTAAATATTTTACTATGGAAAAATTCAAATGTATGCAAAATGCAAAGACTAATACAGTATACCCCCAATCTACCTAGCTTCAACAATTTTCAATTTATGGCCAATCTTGTTATATTTATATTCCAAGCCACTTCTTCTTTGACAAGCAAATCTCAGAGTCAAATAATTTCTCCTGTACTAAAATAATTTTAGTACTATACTTCTTACAGCCTTCTCAGTATTTAATAAATTCTTATTTAAAATAATTACAGAAGATAATTAGGTAGACAACTAGGTATATGGACTAACTAGTAGATAATTAGGTACATGTACCAAAATGGAGAAATCACAGAAACACTGTTAGATGAAATAAATAAGTTGCAGACATCACAATTACATTTTAAAAAAGACTCAACCAAACAAAAATAAATAATAAAATAGACATGTGCTCCAAAATACATAAGCATATCATAGAAAGATAACTGCAAAAATGTACATCGAACGGTGGATTCTAATGATCTGTGAGAAGGGGAGTAGTGATTTAGGGGTTGAACTTAGGAACTGCACCTCGTAGACTTTTATGTTGTTTGACTCTCATACAGAAAAACACATTCATCACCACTTATATAATACTTTTTAATAAAAAGAAGAAAATCAAAGTAAACACTTTGCTGCTTGCTGCCCAGAGTGACAGGAAGTCATCTGGGAAATGGAGAAAAGTCTCAAGTGCTGATTGGAGTTTCTGAGAAGTGACCTTCCACACTCCTTCCTAATCAAGTGATTTTTTTCCTGCCAACTAAAAATACACTCTCCAGTTCAGGAAATGTGGCTGATTGAATAGCAGCTGCTGCCAATGACCTACTTTGCATATTAAAACAACCTTGGAAGGAAAGCAGCAAAACCTCCCTGTCATCAGTTCCTGTTTGGACCCCGGCTCAAGCTCATCACACACGTCTCTCTTGGCTTCCACATTAGCCTTCCTGAGTATTTTCCCAAGACAGCCTCTGGCCACTGTGTCTTTTCCCCCTGTAGTGTCAGGAAACTTCCTGCAAATATTGTAAAAGCAGAAGCCGAAGGAGCTTGAGTGCGAAGCTAACATTCTTCAGATCTTTCTCACAGTTTCAAAAAGCAGATCACCCACTGCTATTTCCTTTTCCTGTGTGTTTTTTAAGTGACAAAGATCCACTGCCAAGATACTATTTCTGTTCAGAGCCAGCGAGAGAGAGCAAAGAGACATAGGCACAAAAATTTTCCCCAGCTCCACCATGGTGGAGAGATGGTGTTTTCAGTAAAATGGAAACTAGAAACATGGAAAAGGTCTGGAAGATGAGCTGTGCTCTAAATGTAAAACACAAGTCAGCCAAAGTGATAATAACTCAAAGTACAATGTGTAATGCTAAATACAGACATTTAAAGAGTCTACAATATTACACTCTATATCTAATTCTATTATATGATATCCTAGTCTCCATAAGCATGAGTAATGTTGACCTCTCCCATTCATAAAGCATGCAGATGCATTTTGAAAGATTTACTTTTTTTAATCGGGAAATTCTCTGGTGGTCCAGTGGTTAGGATGCTTTCACTCCCAAGGGCCCAGATTTGAGCCCTGATCAAGAAACCAAGATTCCACATGCTGAGCAGTGCAGCCAAAAACAAACAAACAAACAAACCTGATAGGCTATACAGAGCACTGCTCATAGCTGCTCAATAAAGTGTTGCATTGAACCTGTTATGTGGCAGTGGGGACAGCAGAGGAATCTGGGGGAGAATGGTTACATGTATATATATGACTGAGTTCCTTTGCTATCCACCTGAAACTATCACAACATTGTTAACCACCTACACAGCAATGTAAAATAAAAAGGTTTAAAAATCGCATTATATTTATAGAATATTGAAGCAGAATGAAATTCAGAGATGACCTAGTCCTACCTTTTTGCTTTACAGATTCAAAAACTGGGGTTCAGAAAGATTAAATAACTGACCCAAGGCCAGACAGATAAGAAGCAGCAGATGTGGGGCTCGAATTCAGATCTCTAGTTCATCAACCTGCCTTCTTCCTACTATATGATGGTGCCTCATGATTCCAGGCTCACTCTTCTGCTCTCTCTCATTTGCTAGACAGCAAGCAAGAATTACTGCAGCATTTCCTCTGATTTCTTATCTTTGGACTTGACTACTGAGCTACTTAAGCAACCAAGGATGAGCACTTGGGGCATGCCCACAGCATTGTATGTGTGTGTGTGCGCCTGCGCACACACGCACACACCCGCACACACACACACACACACACAGTTAGTTCTCGTTAAAGAATATCTTGGAAGAAAGCATGTGCTATAAGAAGACAACCTTCTACCAGGGAATGCTGGGAAATACAGTAGACACTGCTGCTCATGAACACTATTCTCACTTCCTTCTTGCTTAGAATAGTGCAACTTTATTCAGCTATTGAGAAATAGAGACAGTATGTTCAGAGGTGAACCCTGCCTGGCCAAACCAAGTCATTTCATTCTCTCAGACAACGAGATATTAGAGAACTGACTGGGAGGCTTTGGGGGAATATTTCCTTTCTGATAAAAGAAAGGTATGGTACCTCTTATCACACACACACAGCCCATGCAGGACCACAGTAGCCACAACCACAGACTCACAAAAGAACAAAACAACAGTACCCTTAACAACACAGTGCTGCCTAGGTTTCTGATTTTTCCCTGTTGCTTCCTCCTATTAAATATAGCAGCCTGATGATACCAGTCATCACAATAAAATGCTTGCCATTTACAAAGCACTTCCTCAGTGAGTAACACGATGTGATAAAAGAGAAAGAGATGAATTATAAACCTCAGCTAGATCATGAGCGAATTATTTATCTCATCTGAGCCTGTTTCTTTGTTGATGAGAGAATCACAACCCCCAGCTTGGTTCCTGACATTTTAATGAAAGAATGTGCCAGAAAGCAGAGTTGTCACCCGTTATGAGAGCCAAATCACTGACGCTCCAGATCCAAATCAGGATCTGCTACAGAAGCAAGGGCTTCTGACCGGCCAATGTTTTGAAAATTCTATTTTCCAGGGGCATCATTTCTACTGGGAAAAACATAGTGACACTGTTCAGCAAAAAAAAAATTAAGAAAGCTGTTTAATCATCCTTAATTTTAACTACATGAATACAGCTTTATAATTTTTTAATAAAATTTTAAACTTCTAATTTTAATATAGTAGAAGTAGTTCAGTCACTGAGTCATGTCTTGACTCTTTGCGACCCTATGGACTTCAGCACGCCAGGCTTCCCTGTCCGTCACCAACTCCTGGAGCTTGCTCAAACTCATTTTTATATATATGCATATATTTATGGTGACCCAGATGGTAAAGAATCTGCCCCCAGTGCTGGAGACTCGGGTTTAACCCCTGGGTTAAACCTGGAGAAGGGAATGGCAACCCACTCCAGGATTCTTGCCTGGAGAATTCCATGGACAGAGGAGCCTGGTGGGCTACAGTCCATGGGGTTGCAAAGAGTCAGACACAACTAAGTGACCAAACACTTTCACATATAAGATAAACCATAAAATCATATATCTATAATAATTATATATAATTTTATATATTTAAATATATATTATATGTATATAGGTTTACTTTCAACACTTTAGACCTATTTTTTAAGACTGTTTTAATCCTAGTTAGGCAGTTCTTTAGCACATATGGTTCCAAGCAAACGAAAGAATCTCCAGGCACCAGAAACGTGGGGAGACATGAGCTGAAAGAAAAGGTCCAGTTCTTAGCTTTCTGCATGGCAGGGATCTGAGATCCTGAGAAGAGCAGGAGAGAAGCAGCTGAACACCACCCGGTTCTGAGCCGGGCGCCCGCCCTCCTGCCTACGGAGCCTGAGCGGCAGAGACCCGGAGCTGCACCGGGGCCCGTGCGCAGATATGAAGGGCGGCGGGCATCCCGGCGGCACCGCCCGGACAGGGGGGTCCTGCTCCGGGAGCCCTGGCGCCGGGGGCGGGGCTCAGAGCCGGCCCCGCCCCCGGCCCCCTGGGGAAGGAAGCAGAAAAAGGGGAAGCGGCCCCATCCTCTCAAACTATACTGGGTCTCAGGACTGAAAGCCGCTGGCCCGGGAGGACCACACAGAGGGGCAGCTTTCGGCCGCAGCCTAGTAACTCTGAGGTAATTGTCATTTTTACGCTTCTACCCCTGGCCTGAGGGTTGAACACAGGGCGTCTCATTTTCCTTCACGAGGCAGCCGAAATCTGTTCCTGGGCCTGAGACGTCCCTTCCCCTGTTCCAGCCAAGGTTTCCTGGGACTTAAGGCGGGGACAAGTCTTGGTCTTAACACTTGAGATTCTTCAAAAACGTGTGTCGTGTTCTGGAGGTGATTTACCTCGGAAAGCCACTGGAGGAAACCACTTTGCCCTGAGCGGTTCCTTTGTCTGCAGTCAGCAGGATTTATAAATAGGCACGGCTAACAGGGTGGCAGCTTGGTCCTGGGGGCGGGGTGGTTCCAAAGGCTGCAGAAGGCACCACCAGCCCCCTGCCCACTTCTCTCGGGGCACTGACCCCGGGATAACTTCCCCTTGGGGTTTAGGCTTCCAGGTGGACACCAGAGGCTCAGAGCCTCCGACCAGCAAGAATGGAAGACACCCTTCAGTCACTTCTACTCAACCAGGTTTGTCTAACCCAAGTGGGTTGTGCCTCCTTGCCTTAACTACCAAGGTATGGGAGCTGACGTTCCATGTCTTCAGGGGGAGACCCTGGTCTCTTCTCTGCAGCAGGCACCCCCCACCCCGACCCCCAGAGATAGGTCAGCTGATGCTGACTCACACAGCCCTGCTTCCCTGCCCTTTCAAAGCCCAGACCTGGGTTTGAAAGATGATACTGTGGACATTACCTTGGGTGTAGAGGCCCTTCTTCCGTGGCCCACATGGATTTGTGTTCCTTCCGACGAGCACACCTGGCCTTTCTCCCCTAGGGTCTGCCAGTGGCCGCCATGGGGTCTGTGAGCTCCCGAAGTCACAAGGCGGAAGCCCAGGTGGTGATGATGGGCCTGGACTCGGCCGGCAAGACCACGCTCCTGTACAAACTGAAGGGTCACCAGCTGGTGGAGACCCTGCCCACCGTGGGTTTCAACGTGGAGCCCCTCGAGGCCCCCGGGCAGGTGCGCCTCACCCTCTGGGATGTCGGGGGGCAGAGCTCGCTCAGGGCCAGCTGGAAGGACTACCTGGAGGGCACGGCCGTCCTCGTGTTCGTGCTGGACAGCACGGACGAGGCCCGCTTGCCCGAGGCGGTGGCTGAGCTCACGGAGGTCCTGGAGGACCCCCACCTGGACGGCGTCCCCCTCCTGGTGCTGGCCAACAAGCAGGATGCACCCCACACCCTGCCTCTGCCCAAGATCCGAGACAGGCTGGGCCTGCGGAGGTTTCCGGGGCTCTGCTGGGAGCTGCGGGCCTGCAGTGCCCTCACCGGCGAGGGGCTGCCTGAGGCCCTGGGGACCCTGAGGCGTCTCCTGAGCTACCGCAGCCCCCCAAGTCTCCAGGTGGGTGCAAGGGGAGGCCGTCGGGAGACCTGAGAGCCTCGATCCGAGCAGAGCAGCCTGTCTTCTCTGCTCTTACAGACTGGAACACCAGCTAATCCTGGAGGGAAACTTAAGATCTGTTTATCAAACAAGGAACCCTCCTAGGCTCAGACACAATATTTAAGTCTTTGGACTTATTGTCACCGGTGTTTATGTTGCAAATCAGCTACTCTTGCAATAATGATACTCTAAGTATTCCAGGTGGTTCAGCAGCAAAGAATCTGCCTGCAATGCAGGAGACATGGGTTCAGTCCCCGGGTCGTGAAGATCCCCTGGAGAAGGGAGTGGCAACCCACTCCAGTATTCTTGTCTGGAGAATCCTGTGGACAGAGGAGCCTGGAGGGCTTCAGTCCATGGGCTCTCAAGAGAATCGGACATGACTTACCAACTAAACAACAACAAAGAAAAAAAAAAAACCTCAACATAATTCGTTTAGTAACTCATCATTACCACGTGTGAACTGAGAAACTATAATAACAGAACAAGTGGCTGCAGAATAATTAACACCTAAATTCACAGAGGGAAAGAGGCTTCAAAATCAGATCAGAATATCAGACTTGGACATGTTCACGATCTTATGAATGATTGTTCTTAGTAGCCCCCTAAATCATCCCAAGTGCCACCACCCTCTGAGAGCAAGCAGTCAGGGCCAGCAGGATCAAGTCTGCTTCCAAAGGATCTTGGGTTAGAAGTTGGCTGGGCACTCAGCCCCGGGACAGAGGCCGGGAGTTCGGACCTTCCAAAATCAATCACCTTTTCTGACCCTGACTAGTCATTCTCTGGAGGAGGGTGTGACAACCCACTCCAGTATTCTTTCCTGGAGAATCCCATGGACAGAGGAGCCCAGCGGGCTACAGTCCCTAAGATCGCAAAGAGTCAGACATGACTGAAGCGACTAAGCACGAATGCACAGCCCTTCTCCAACTTTTTGTTATCTTGTGCTGGTCTTTTTCCAGAACCCTTCATTGTTTTCTGTTTTCCTTCTCTTTCTTCTCCTTGTATAGATTCCCTTAAAGATCAATCAGTTTCATTCATCCATTTATTCATTCACTTAATCAAAAGTATGTCGAGCATGGAATTTGTGGCAAAGGGCAGTGAGTTTTAGATATGAAGCAGGGCCTCCAGATGGGAGGCGTGAATTCTGAAGATATGTATAGCAGCAATGTACCTCTCACTATTTACAGTGAAAGAGGAAGTTGAACATAGCATCCTAGAAGGGTTTTCAGGTGATTTTTACCTGGGAGCCATGAAGCTCCTGAAATTATTTGCAAAAAGATCAGAAACTTTCATTAGATTTTCAAAGGCACCTGTGACTCCTTAAGGTAAGAAGCACCAATCTGGTCTTATCCTTCATTCAACCCAGGAATACTTCCTGTAATCTGAGTTTTTTAATAGCAAGCTGCTTCCATTTGGTACCTGCTCTCGTGTTAAACAGCTCTAAATGTTGGATATTCTTTCCCTCTTGGGCTTCTGTCAGCCTCCTAAGAGCTCCTGACGGTGGCTCGGCCCTCTGTGGGGTGACACATGACAACTGGCCCTCGATACTCCTCTGATGTCTGAGAGGCCCCACTACCCAACATCAGCTTAGATGTGCCTGGTTTTTTCCACCTCTTGCCAGTTGATGTGTTTCAAGGCTTCCTGTGTTGGACACAGGAAAGTACAAAGATGCAAAGACAAAGGGAACAAGGCCTCCAGGCTCAGGGCGCTCTGGGTGGGGAAGCAGAGGATACGATTCCCATGAAGGTGAGGATGGGAGCTTACTGTTTACTGCGCATGTACTGGGCCCGGTGCTGTGCTCAGTCCCTTACAAGAGATGACCTCTAAGTCTCCCAATTCTGCCAAGCAGGTATCCTTCCCATTTTACAGAATTAGACACTGAGGCTCGGAGAGGTTGTGACTTGCTTAAGGCACGGCTCTTAAGTGACACTTCTGGAATTTGAACCAGATGTTCTAGCCCTTGATGATGCCTGCATTCTTCTATGACATTGTACTTCTAGGAGGTTTAAGCCAAGGTGGACATTTGATTGGCAGATGAGATGGGGGAGCAGTCTAATCAGAGGAAAGTGATTGTTTGGAGGCATGAGGGACAGTGTAGGAAGGACAAATAAGCCAAAAAGAAAAAAACTGAAACAGGAGGTTGGGGATGAGAGGTGGTATGTATTATAACAGGAAACAAAACCGAAAGGAGGGACTTTCCTGCTGGTCCGGTGGCTAAGACTCCACGCTCCCAATGCAGGGGGCCCAGGTTCGATCCCTGGTCAGGGAACTAGATCCCACATGCTGAAACTATGACCTGGCACAGTCAAATAAATAAATAAATGTTACATTTTTTTTTAATGAAGAGAAATTTTAGATCCAAGTTGAGAAGCTTCCCTGGTGGTTCAGACGGTAAAGAACCTACCTGCAATGTGGGAGAGCCAGGTTCCATCCCTGGGCTGGGAAAATCCCCTAGAGAAGGAAATGGCAACCCACTCCAGTATTCTTGCCTGGAGAATTCCATGGACAAAGGAACCTGATGGGCTACAGTCCAGGGAGTCGCCAAGAGTCAGACATGACTGAGTGACTAACACACACACATGAGAAGGCTTAGACTTTCATAATCAGGAGCTGGTCTCAGAGAAGTGAAACTGTCTGGCTTCCATTTAAGAGGCTAATTTAGTGGCAGTGTAGGGGTGAAATAAAGAGAAGCAGAAACACTGGGAATGGAGAGGCAGGGAACCCCAGTGGATGCCCATCGCAGTCACAGAGGAGGGGAGAGGAAGACAAGAACACTGAGAGCCATTTCTAAGAGAAAAGGCTGAGAGTGGAAGAATTCGAAGACACTCAAGGTTTTGAGCCTATGTAGCAGGTGGGATTGGAATGAACTCAAAAGGTGGACACGGGAGGAGCAGGTTGCGAAGGGGTCAGAACCGCTGGGCTCTGCTGGGTCCGAGTGTGTTTATAACTCGGTTCACACTGTGTCATTATCTGCAGACCCTGGGGCACCTGGGACCCCCTAGAGGTATCTGCTGGTTTCTGTTCATGGAAGCTCATCTCCGCATGTGATTTGTCCTGTTTTTATTGTGAGCTCATCTTCAGCAGGGTGCGCTTTTCCTGTGTGACTGCCTTGTGCTCTGGGTTGTGACAGGGTTTCTACACAGAGGGGTTTCCCATTAGCTGTCTACTAGATGCTGGGGCTTTCGATTTTTTGAGACCAGATATTATGTTAGTTTCTCTGCTTGGGGCTCACAGACCGCCCAGGCAGTAGCAATCTGAACTCTCCACTCATTCACAGCCCAGGCGCTCCCTGGAGATGCAGTTTCTGACAGGCGACTGTTTTTCTTTGCATTCATATCCCAAGATAGACCATTTGCTTCCACATGCCCGGCTGAGCTGGTGAGCAGACTTTTCCAATCCCCTTTTAAGAGAGGGGTGCCACTTTAATGCTCTTGCTTTTCTGTTGAGCTCAGAGCAAAATCTTCTCCCCTCCAAACAAGAGTGAGGCCACATCTCCCATCCCCATGCAGATGCTATGACCACAGACCAATCCCTAGAACCTAGGTTTGGCTTCTCTAAGATGCTTCTGGACTCCAGGCTTCACTAAACTGCTTTGGCTATAGCTTTCCCCCTTCGTTTCTGCCACTTGGATTCCCCCCCCCCTTTTTTTTTTAATGTTCAATGATAGCCTACATTAAAACATTTTTTCTGACTATAATTTATCCAATACTTATGACTCCCTAAGTATTGGAAACAGTGACGGACTTTATTTTTAGGGGCTCCAAAATCACTGCAGATGGTGACTACAACTATGAAATTAAAAGACCCTTGCTCCTTGGAAGAAAAGTTATGACCAACCTAGACAGCATATTAAAAAGCAGAGATGTTACTTTGTCAACAAAGGTCCATCTAGTTCAAGCTATGGTTTTTCCAGTAGTCACATATGGATGTGAGAGTTGGACTATAGAGAAAGTTCAGTGCCAAAGAATTGATGCTTTTGAACTGTGGTGTTGCAGAAGACTCTTGAGAGTCCCTTGGACCGCAAGGAGATCCAACCAGTCCATCCTAAAGGAGATCAGTCCTGAATATTCATTGGAAGGACTGATGCTGAAGCTGAAACTCCAACAGTTTGGCCATCTAATGCAAAGAATTGACTCATTTGAAAAGACCCTGATGCTGAGAAAGATTGAAGGCGGGAGGAGAAGGGGATGACAGAGGATGAGATGGTTGGATGGTATCACTGACTCAATGGACATGAGTCTGAGTAAACTTCAGGAGTTGGTGATGGACAGGGAGGCCTAGCGTGCTGCGATTCATAGGGTCACAAAGAGTCAGACAAAACTGAGCAACTGAACTGAACTATGACTCCATAGTGGAAAAGGGTCCATCTGCTGTGTTGCCAGGGTCCCAGGAAAGGCTGAGAGGAGACCAGGATGGCCTAGGGCACACATGTGGTGGCTGGCTTTACCTTCTCCAGGTCTCCCATCTTTCCCCCTGCTTCCATTCCAACCACAGCGGCTCTGGAGGGAGGGTGGAACCCCATCTTTTTTTAGAACCTTCCCTGAAGACCACAGGGTAGCTGGCCTTGCCCACTGGAAGCAAGAGTGGCAACAGGTCAACGCTGGCCGGTAGGACTGGGGATTCTACTCTCCTGGCCGCTGGCAACTGGAAGGTGGGGCAGTCTGTGGCCAGTAGGAGGGCCTCGGCCCTTGCCTCCCCTCCTGAGTCAGGCCAGAGCCCACCAGGGACGTGGATTGCTCCTCTGCTCAGATACACATATGGACATATACATGTACTTACATCACAGAGCTACAACACAGGGGACCTTGGGAAAAAACAAACTGTGCCTTCTGTTTTATTTTGTTGTTTAAAAGGTCTTCTCATTATGGGAGAGGTATTTTCAAATCACCCACACCTTTCAGATCTATCTGCCTTTCATTAACCCATGAGCAGGAGTAAGGAGGTGCAGGAGTTGATGTGGCTGAAAAGCACATGTCTATTGCCTTCTTATATATAAATGAATTTTTTGTTTCTGCAAACACTGTATACAGTGAGGTTTATTTCACGTTGGAGAGCCGATTACCCCTTTGAATATGGGTTGAGTTTCTCCCTAACTCACTGATTTTATTTTATTTATTTATTTATGGCTGTGCTGGGTCTTCCTTGCTGCACAGGCTTCTCTCCAGTTGTGTGAGTGGGGGTCACTCTCTAGTTGCGGTGCACGGGCTTCTCTAGTTATGGAACATGGGCTCTAGAACACAGGCTCAATGGTTGTGGCTTCGTTGCTCCAAGCCAGGTGGGATATTCCCAGACCAGGGATTGAGCCCATGTCTCCTGCACTGGCAGGCGGATTCTTTACCAGTGAGTCATCAGGGGAGCCCCTCTGACTCAGATTCTGATGTTTCTCCCTCCCCTCTTGGACAGAAGCGATCCTTTGATGAAAGTTACAAACCATGGGAGTTGGGTTTTGGTTTGGTTCTGCTGAGTTTCAGGTTGCGTCTGTCCATCCTCACGGATCTCCTCACTCGCCTCCTCCTGCTGGAGCTGGGGACAGCTGTGTCCTCTAAAGTGGGCCAGACCCCCCTCCGGAGCACAGGGCTGAGCCGGGACCTTGCCTTCCTTCTCATCCTCCACCACCCACAGCGTTCCAGCTGCAACCTCAGGTCATGCAGTGCTACTGCTGCTGCTAAGTCACTTCAGCCGTGTCCGACTCTGCGCGACCCCATAGACGGCAGCCCACCAGGCTCCCCCGTCCCTGGGATTCTCCAGGCAAGAACACTGGGGTGGGTTGCCATTGCCTTCTCCTCATGTAGTGCACTTGCCTTGATAAAGACTCATCTTCCTTCAGAGCCCACCTGATGCAACTCAAGACCAGC